AATTCTCATGGGATGCTCAACTTCTCCAGAGTGAACAAGGGTGGGACAGGTCAGGTTCTGTGTTTGAGGGAGAGTATACTAATCATGTTTGAATTTTTGCTAACTAATGTGTTGTAGAAATTTTAAGCCTGTTCCTTCTCTTGAGTGTTTTAACCATTAAGGCAGAAAACACCTGCTATTTCTCTTGAGTTTCTCCTGGTAAATATGTTTTCCTTAGCGTAAAAAAATCAAAGCATAAAGAAAATAATAGCCTAATAGATTTATACCTTAAGGTTACCCCTCTATGCAAGGATATTAATAAACCTCTTTTCCTACTCTACAATTTCCACCAGAAAAACTAAGAAGGTATCTCAGAGGAAGAGCTCATATCCAGAAGAAAACAAAATCCTTTATTTCAGTTATTATGGATAGATTAGGTACCTTACATTAGACATATTTGACATGAAGTAATTGTAATTATTTGATAATCCTAAGTATAGCAAGGAGATAAATGAAAAGTCAGAGCAATTTTATAGTGACAGAATAGTTTAGGAAATTTCAGAGAGATTTTTTTGCAGTATGCCACTTAATCCATGCCATGTCCTACTGAAAATGCTGAAAATTTAGCTAGTATTTTTGAGGTAATGGAACTGAGATGAATTTGATTTTCATAAGTAGTAACAGAAGCATATTGCTGAAAGGGACTATCTACATTTCTACATTCTCAAAATTGAGAGTTACAATACACTTAATATTTAGTTGGAAAAAAAAGAGATCTACAGAACTTTTGGTCCAGATGGTACTACCCACTGACTCAAAACCTTTAATTCTTTAATTTGCAGTAAAGAACAAAAGCCAAATCTCAAATCTTCCTTGGGGAAAAAGAAAAAAGGGAGGAAGAAGAGAATAAAGGGCACTGCCAATGGTCTGTGGAGACCCCCTCATCAGGAGGAAACATGTGAGAACTTCTTTGCCCAATGTTCTAGGAAATACATGTCCCCTATACAAAGCAGAACAAAAGAAAGAAAGAAATTAACATAACTCAGAACCTAAATTATACAATAAAGGGAGAAAACATCCTACCTGACCTGAGAGCCTGAAGTAAGCCCTCAGGCAGAGAAGAGATACAGTATAAGTGTAGAAAAAACATATTCCAACTTCTTCAAAAAGCCCTTTCCTTTCCAACTTGCCACAAATGTACCTTTTCTAACACGAACTGTCCAGTTTAATTACAAAGTTTTTTATTTTCAAGTTCTATTTAAAAAAAAAAAACTTTGTTGGCCTGATCACCTATTTGGAAGACCTTTCCAGTCTCAGACAGTCTGTAAACTTCTTCCCTTTCCTAGGTGTTATAATCAATGCATATGCATTTGATGGCATGCCAACATCCCTTTTCAGTTCAAATACATTCTGTTTTGTTTAGTTTTTTGGGGTTTTTTTTAGCATTTAACTAAAAATGAATTTGTAAGGAATCATATGTCCTTTCAATATCTATTTGGCTATGTATTCCTTTTTTTTTTTTTAATCTCTCTTCTGTAGACACATTTTCCATGCCCCAATTACCATAGTTTCTTCCTGATCTTTAGACTTCATTTTAGTATCTTCTTTGAATATGACTAGAACCACACATAATACACCAGGAACTCATGAAAAAGCACATCCTTTACAATACTAATAATGCCTTCTTACCTATTATGACATCCTGCCTAATACATCATAAAATCACATTTTTCTTTTCCCTTTATAGAAGTACTTAAATTATAATAGCAACCTCTAACCCCTTCCTGATTGACTACTAGCTTTAAATTTCTGAAATTTTTATAGACTTGGATTTTCCCAGTTTATAGTAAAAGTTCTAATTCAGGAGTTTGTAGAATGCATTATTCAATTTCACACTATTTCTATCAGCCTAGACCAAAAGAAAAGCAATATACAGACAGACATGAATTGAATTTAGAAATACTGACATGTTAGAATATAGACAATAACACTAAAATTGTAAAATATTTACATTGTATGTATATATATATATATATATTTGCACATATATATATGTATCTCAACACATCTGTTTCTCAGAAAGACCTCTTATTTTGTCTAAAATTTCTGTCCAGACACACTTACCTTACGCCCTTAAATCAGTGCTATGTGTATTACAAAACAGCTGATCCTATTCTAGGACATAAAACTGCTGGACCAAATGCTCGTGCCACAATATACTGAGGATTTCTCTTACCCTATTCCTACTTACACTACACAACAAAATTTACATCTCTTCTTACCAGAAACAGAGGCAACTTTTCTGGCACCTATTTGGTCTGGGCCTACTTTATTGTTAATGTCCACCCCATCCTTTAACAACCATCCCACTTCTTAAGTTCTCATTTTATTTACATTGCTTTAAAAGTTTTTACTCTGTTTCTATGCAAGTTTTGGTATAACAAGGTTTCTGACCATTCTCAGTTTGGTTTTATGCCTTCTAATTATTGATGCAGATTTCTTCTTGCTAATCAGTATCTCTTTTTCATTCTCTTTAGATTTTGTGCTTACTCTTAATAACTTGCTTAAGGCTTCTGCCTTCTGGGAATTCTTTTTCATTCCAGTTTAGGTGCACTATTGTGTTTCTTCCCTTCTTCTCCGCTGTAAAAAATCCAATAATATCTGCTCTTTTTTTTTTACATAAAGTAGCATTTTTCTTTTCTGAATTCTTCTTCCAGTACTCACTAAAATTTTTTATTTCTGAGTTTGCCCTTCTGAAACACTGGACTGCAGTAACAGATCCTTCACATTCTTCGGTCTTGAAATTTCACATGAAGTAGAAAAGCATTATTTTTTTTCTATCATTAGTTTATCCTGCAGATCCTATAATTTACTACAATTTAATCTAATTTATCCTTGTCTCTTGCTTGCTCAATATCTGTTCCATAAAAGAAGCTATCCTCTAGCATGATCAAATTCATGTCATCCCCAGCAACACTGGCTGAACTTTCTACTGATGCTTTCCCATAAGAAATAACACAAATCTGCATGACCACACAATCTTAGCATTATTTCCCCCCTCCCCATATTTGTAGGCATTGTTTTCCAGCTCCAATCTGGACCAGCAGATTCATAATAGATTGCATCCCTAGTATTTTTCCTACCCTTTGCTCAATGATTTTTTTTCAAGTGGACACTATCTCATCTTCACCCTCAAATTTAACATTTTTTATTGCACTATTGTTAACAGTTTTCACTCCTTAACTTGTTTCAGTGCGTGACCATGACATTATTGCAACACTTTCTTTGTCTTTCATAAAGAGTGTCTATCCTTCTGTTCCAATATAATTCATTCAACAAGTTTGGAACCTCCAAATTCCTGTTTTTCCATGTCTGATTCCACAGGCTTGATCAACTGTTCCTGCCAATGTTATAAATTATAGAAAGAAGGTAGACCTGAACACTTACAAGTTGTATATTTAATGCATGTATGCCTCATATGCTTTTGTTGAACTATCTTTACTCTGGCTCCATTCTCACTCAGGTCTCTCTACTTGTATTCCATAATATAATGATTACATTAGTTATTAGTTATTAGTTATATATTATATATATATTATAATATGATGATTATATTAGTTATTTCCAACTTTCTTTCTGAGTATTTCAGTTTAAAGGAGTTTAGGATTTCTCAGTTTAATGAAAGGTAGATGAAAAATAAATTAGCAAGAGGCAACACTAAAATTAAAAAAAAAATCACAAATTTAGTATTATTTAATGTTTGATGGTTTTGCTTTGGTTTAAAATGACAGTTCTAGTTCAAATACTCAGATATAACTTTTCACTGCCAGAAATACTTTTGGACTAAGAATAAGAATGAATGGAACAACAGCATGATAGTTCTACACTAATAACTATTTAAATCTCCCACATGCTACTAAAACCATCTAGCAGTGTAACAACTTGAAAGTAAGATTTGGTTAAATCAGACTTTCTACTGATTATGCTTTTTAATATCTCACTAGTACAGAATCAGAAAAATTAAACTGAAATATATCTACAGTGTTGACTTTAACATGATAGCTTTTAACATGATTTCATAGTTATGAAATGTCAACAACTTCTCCAAAACAGTTTCAGGAAAGAGTTAAGCTCAGCCTAGCTGACAAGGTTATGTAAAATATCTTTCTCTGTTATGAATAAAAAAGTTTTTATGTGTGTCTAATTTTGTGTGTCAGAGAGAAAAATAGCTTAAAGAATCACAGATAGATGCTATAAATATGACAGGCCTAAAAAATGCAAACATATATGAATAGAATCCCACATATTCAAAATGAAAAATTATTAATTCAAAAGAAAGATATTTTTCAAAAATAGTGAGGCTCTAAGAAACTCCTGTAGGACATCTCATGATCTGTTCAGTATCTGTGTTTTTTTTTTTTTTTTTTGTTCTACTATCATCAATTCCATGTTGCATATTAGAAAGCTTAAAAGAGCGTATGTAGGTGGAAAAAAAAACACCTACACACCTGTATGGGGTGTGGTTTGGTATTTTTTCCTGACTGAAACTAGCGCCTTGGAACACAATCTAAAACCATTTAAAAGCTCCCAGTGAATTGACTGGGTTTGCATCAAAACAGTAAACTCAGTGATACTTTAAGAAGATAAGTATTTTGTCCCACTGAGAAGATTTCCAACAGCTTCTACAAGGCCAGGAAAATTACCTGGTTCATGTAAGAAATCTATCTTCCATCCAAAAAAACAGACCTTGCTTATTTCAGATCTAGGGAAACAAGATTTGAGTCACACTCCTTTTATGTTTGCAGAGAAGATGAATATGCCTTTTAGGGACAGCTGGGCATTACAAAAAAGACAATTTTTTAGCAATCATTTTTGGGTTTAGCATGTTGGGATGTTAAGATAAGAGTTAACAGAGGTCTGCTAAGATACAGATGTGCAGAAATCACATACCACAGACAGAGTATTGTTCAATGCTTACACTAGAACAGGAAAAACAGAGGGACACACACATCTAGCATTACCTTTGAGTTAAAGCTGGATTCCAACCTCTGTGCTGTACACATGGGGTGAACTCCATGTGTTCCTGTGTGCATAACACCATTTGAATTACTACATTTATGTAGTACCTGCTACTAGATTTATGTACTACAATACAGACAGCACACAGCAGCACTTAATACGCAAATGCGAACACATGCACATCTTTGCACGAACACAATTATACCGCCTTCTAATTATTATCTTTTTTTCTTTTTTTTTTTTTAAGATCAGCCAAACACGCAATTTTGCCAAAAATAAAACCCTAAGTTTAACCGGAAAAAAAAGCATCCCCAGAGCTACAACCAGCCTTGGCCCA